GCTCAGTCAGGAAGGAAGAGCGAGAGGCCTCCTCCTCCAACTCAGGTTCCTCCCATTCAGGTCCTCCTCCTCCAACTCAGGTTCCTCCCATTCAGGTCCCCATTTATAGAGCAAAACCAAGATCAGATGGGCAAGTAAAAATAATTGACAGATCAGCCACTGATGAAGCATTTAGATTCATTAGCTAAGATTGCATCCTACTTAGACTTTCATCTCTCTGGACTAGTGGAAAGTTTACTAAACACTTATTCTTATAGCAATTCAACCTGTAGCAATCCAATGAAGGCTCCTATATATATTTTATAATTAAAGGTCCCAAGAAACCTGACTGGGTTATTTATGTATGCAGCCACAGCAGCTAGAACTTTATTTGCACAGAAGTGGAAAGAGGGAGGATTGGTTTATGAAACTGGGGGAATATGCTGAAATGGTGAAATTACCTGCTAAACATGAGGATGAATCTTTTCAGGAAGAATGGAGACCATTGATATCTTATTTGTCAAACTATCATCTATACATGAAGTCAAAGGCAGGATTTGAAATATAAGCAGCGGATTACTGAAATACGACATTGGGACTTTGATAATAAAAACATGTTTTTTAAAACATCTGATAAAAAGAAGTAATAAAAACAAACATAGAGAAGGGGGGTGGGGAGTCAAGAAAAAATTGTGGGGGGGGGTTGTTTGTTTTTTTAAACTGTATACGAAGACAAGTGATTGGAATATCTGCGGAGACTTAATAATTTATTTTTTTTATGAGTAGAGATGTTTCTGCTCAAAGACGAGGAGCAAGTTGGCTCCATGTGCAACAGAAGCTCTCCTTCCGCAGAACATGTCGAAGGGGAAGGGAGATCCTAAGGCTCAGAGCAAACTTTCTCCCCTCATCCAACCCCAGAGAGCTTCCCTCTGTTGGAGAAGCCTTTCAAAGAGGGGGTGGAAATTCACTTGAAGTGGCTTTGAAGCCACCAACACGCTACTTCCCTTCAGGGGGAGAACCAGAAGGGATTGGCAGGAATCAAATCCACCCAAAGTGGCCAACTAGAAGAAGAAGAGTTTGGATTTCATATCCCGCTTTATCACTACCCTTGTTGTTTAGTCGTTTAGTCGTGTCCGACTCTTCGTGACCCCATGGACCAGAGCACGCCAGGCACTCCTGTCTTCCACTGCCTCCCGCAGCTTGGTCAGACTCATGTTTGTAGCTTTGAGAACACTGTTCAACCATCTCATCCTCTGTCGTCCCCTTCTCCTTGTGCCCTCCATCTTTCCCAACATCAGGGTCTTTTCCAGGGAGTCTTCTCTTCTCATGAGGTGGCCAAAGTTTTGGAGCCTCAGCTTCACGATCTGTCCTTCTAGTGAGCACTCAGGGCTGATTTCCTTCAGAATGGATACGTTTGATCTTCTTGCACTCCATGGGACTCTCAAGAGTCTCCTCCAGCACCATAATTCAAAAGCATCAATTCTTCGGCGATCAGCCTTCACTACCCGGATGTCAGGGAACTGCCATCAGTGCCGGAGGGAGAGAGCAAAATCCAGAGGGATTCCAGAGAGCGTCCTGGGATTGGGAGAGGCAGCCCATCTTCTTGGGAAGAGAATCAGCATAGCACCAGTGCAGAAGGGGGGCAGATGGGGGAATCGGCGAGGCGGTCCCATGACTCCTTGCCGGGGACCAGTGGGGAGAGTAGGGGTCCTCCGCTGCCTACGCCCTCCTTGCGCAGAAGGCTTTCGCACAGACAGAGTAGGAGGAGACTAGGCGTCAAAGAGCTTCTTTGCTGGAAGAAGTTTAAGAAACGCCCACTGATGGATTCTGCAAGCAATTGAGACAGCCACGGGGGGTTTGTAGCTGTCCGGACAGAAAAGGTTCACTCAAGCAACCCAGCCAGGTGTTTGCACCGACTTATGCACGAGCAACCCCTAGAACCATTACACCTAAGGAGTCTCAAAGTGGCTAACAATCTCCTTTTCCTTCCGTCCCCACCAAAAACACTCTGTGAGGTGAGTGAGGCTGAGAGACGAGAGAAGTGTGACTAGCCCAAGGTCACCCAGCAGCTGCAGGCGGAGGAGGAGGGAAGCGGAACTGGTTTGCCAAGTTATGAGTCCACCGCTCTTAACCAGTACACCACACTGGCTCTCTAAAGCATCTCTAACAGATAGCCATCCAAACTCTGCTTAAAAACCTCCAAGGAAGGAGAGTCCATGGTCAGATCCAGCTCCTTCTTTGGTCCTTGGGAGCAAAGTTCAGGCCAAACTTCCATTTCCCCAAAACACCTTCTGACTTTTCTCCATCATGTTTTTCTCCAGCTCTGCACCTGCTGCCTGAGCGATTCAAGACTTCGGAAAGTTAGTGTGATGAAACTTATTCCACTTGGAATAATCAAAATTATAGTCATCTCCTCTTCTAAATGCTCAGGAGATATTTCTGGAGGTTACATCAGCCTCAGAAAGTAGCATGACCATATTAATTGCACTGTGTCTGGGAAAGAAAAAGTTGGTGCAGAGAATATTTCCTGTGTTGGAGACAGACCGAGTGAAGATGCAGAGCTGGCGAAAGAGGGGTGTGCCTGCCTTGTGCTTCCTAGCTCAGAAGGTATAGTTGAAAACCACCCAGATTGGGAAAGCCCACCCAGTCTGGTCTTGCAAGAGTCTTTGGGTTCTTCTGTTTTGCCTCTTTGGCAGGTAAGAGGAGGAGGCAGAGCCAGAATGAGATCCCTGCTCCTTGTGTTGCTGCTGCTGCTGCTGCTGATGCCCTTTGGAGTCTGCAGGAACCACAAGGCGAAATGCCCCTTGAATCTGGTCAGGGGTCAAACGGATGCTCGCAATTACTACCAGCCTGGACACTTTCTCATCACTGGGATCATATCTCCAAAACGCTTTTATGTGGAAACTCCATACGTCTTTTCTCAGACACCCTTCGCCAGCACTGAAGAGTATGTACTTCACAGTTTCATGGTCCTCCAGTCCTTCTAGTGGTTCCTATTTATCAAGGAAAGAGCCCCTTTCTCAGGGCTGGGGAGCCAAGGCTGTCCTCATGTTGCAGGTCTACCCTGCCCTGACCATTGGTCTTGCTGGCTGGGCTGATGGGAGCTGGGGGTCCACTAAAAGATTCCACCCAAACCTCTCCCATTTCCTTGTTCCCTGGGTCTTTCTTAGTGAAACACTCTCCTACCTATGGATGCACTGAATTTTCCCACCTGCAGGATGCCATGAAACTCAGGCAATTCCCAAGGCTCAAGGGTTTTATTCAATATTATTCCATTTGGATAATCCAGAAACTGTCGTTAGGGAATGCTACATTTTTAGAAATGGAATTTAAGATCCTCTGGGTGACGTTTGGTGGCTGAAGAGCAGAAAAGATGTACTTTAATTGAAATGATGAATAAAATAATATGAATCAGGAGACTTCCTTGTTCGTGGAGTCAGGTCTCTAAAATGTGAAAAGGAATTATTCCTTTTTTCACATACACAACTGGCCTCATTTCTAAGTAGTGAGATGTTTGATATTTCTTCACTTAGAATCCATAGGTACCTGTTTCCTATCCCAGAGGGAGGCATGAAACTCAAGCAATTTCCAAGCTGCCAAAATTATTTTATGTTTATTCTATTTGGATCATTTGTGAACAACCTTAGCCCAGTTCTCTTGACACAATACCACAGGAGACCTACAGCCCACGATGGGCTACATTAAAGGTTTCCTCCTCCAACTCAGCACTTTTTCCTTTCTGTCACTGTCTTTTAAAAAATAATTAGAAGCGTTTTAAGAAACGCTTGAAAATGGGTGGATTTTTATGGGTGGAAAGATATGCTTCAAATAAAATGATTATATAAAAGAATAGCGGCCAGGGTGTGTCCTCATTGGTGAAGTCACTGATCCAAACATGGGCAAAATTAAAGATTTTACCACACACTCAAACCTGAAAGCCACCAGGCCTCATTTGTAACTAAAAGGGGACTGAGGTATTTGGTACTTCTCATCGTTCAATCAAATTGTCTCTTATCTGCCTTTGGTCCAGCCCATTGGAAGAAACCAAAGACCACTGCAGCAAAAGCAGTCCTTGCAGCAACTTCCCAGTATATCATACATTTTGAGGGGCACCTTCATTTCTTACTCATAAAACCATAGTAGAATAGAATCATAGAGTTGTAGAGATGGAAGGAACCCGGATGAATCTCACCTGAAGCATCCATGACACATGGTCACCTTCGGAGGGAGTCTGTTCCACTGTTGAACAGCTCTGTGTGCTGTTTGCATCAAAGCTCCTGTCATGGAGTAGAGATTTCCAAATTTTTGTTCTATGCTAGACAGGAAAAGATTTGATATTAATGTAAAAGGATAAACAAATACTAATCTTTGTGGATCATATAACATTCCCTCCCTCCCATTCATATGAATATCAGTTTTACTCTTTTTAAATCATTCATTTATTGCAGGGACGGAACTAGGTTCCACTGGCACATGTTGTCTTTCCCGGTCACCATTCAAGAGATCAACCAGGATCTCAGGCTCTTACCCAACATCACCCTGGGCTACAACATCTATGAGAACTATTGCGATGCAAGGACGACTTCGGACGCCATGTTAGAGCTGCTTGCAGCAGTGGATGCAATATTCCCAATTATCACTGTGGAGAACAGAATCACCTGCTGGCTGTTCTTGAAGAAGCAATACTGTCATCTCAAGAATGATTTCAGCCTTGTCAGGCATCTACAAAATCCCACAGGTAAGTAGTGGGAGAGGATGGAGGGAAAGAGAATTTCAACTGCGTAAAATTCTTCTTTCTCTTTGGAGGGGTCAAGTGCGGACATTTTTAAAAATGGGGAAAATCCTGAGCTATGAATCCAACATCCCCTGAGCCTTCACCAACTTGACACCTCCAGATGTTTCAGACTAAAACTCCCATCAGCCTTCGCTAGCAGAGATTTAGATATCAGTCATTTCATATGATTAAATACCTGTTATGCTGAAAGTAGAATAAATTGGTGATCTTTTGCTTTCCTTGCTAGATCAGTTATGGCTTCACTGCCCAGGTTCTCGAAAGTAAAACCCTGTTCCCTTTTGTCTACCGGATGACTCCCAAAGAGGAAAGTCAGTACCAAGGGATTGTTGAATTGCTCCTGTATTTTGGATGGACGTGGATTGGCATCTTCACTCCAGACAATGACAGTGGAGAAAGATTTGAGAGCGCTGTGAAATCTCTGATGCTCAGCAAAGGGATCTGCATTGCTTTTTCAAAAATTATACCAGAAAATGATATAAAACAATCTATCAGGCCTGGGGAACCTTTTTTCCTATGGAGACAAGTTGGGGTATTTGTTTCCTATATAACCAATGCACTGGGTGTCATGATACTCCTGGCAATAAACATGGCATATGAGAAGGAAATAGGGGCGAAAGTCTGGGTCACAACAGCTTTGCTAGAAATCAGAATTGGCTTTCACCTCCCTCCAGATATGTTCCAGCACCTCCATGGTTCTCTGTCCTTTGCAATTCAGACTGGAATAAGGAGCAGCAAAGGTGACAAATTGCAGACCAATCTTCTGGATTATTTGAATCAAGCATTTCCGTGTTCATATTCAAAGCATCTGTTGTCCGTGAAAGGCAGGGTAAGATGCAGAGAGGAGGAGAAACTGCAGCCATTGCCCCAAGCGGAGCGTGAGAGAACCCTGTCCCTAGACAGCTATGGCACTTACATCCAATGTTCAAGTTGTGGCTCAGGCCTTGCATGCTTCGCTTTCATCTAGATCTCAGAGGAGGCTGATGGGGGAGGAAGGAGAGCAATGGGGACCCCAAAGGCTACAGCCGTGGCAGGTATTTCCTTCCCCGTTTTGCAAACTGCAGTCCACACAGATGCTGATCTTGACTGGGGATAGACCTGCAACATTTCATAATTACTATTAGTACTAGTAATAGTAGCATACAGCACAACGTTTCTCTGTTGAAAATAGAGACGTCCCATAACGATAATTTTACTGTTGATATCCAGAGCTTTTTAAAGGCGGAACTCATTGAAACTCAGTTTTGGCACCTTTCAGGTGGGTGCCATTGCCATTCTCAGAGGGAGGTGTTCATGGTGAGTTCCGGCACCTTCATTTCTAGAGAAAGAGCACTGTTTACACATCTTCTTCAGTTGCCTCAGGACTCTGGGCAGCTCCCAACATAAAGAAATTCATACTAAAATATTAAACATCTTAAATATTAAACAATATTAGACGGCTTGTGGGTTGAATAACTCCACATCCACCAACATTTCTCCAAAGAAAATAGGGACATTCTAAGGAAAAGTGGGAAATTCTGGGATCAAATGAAAAACTGTCTCTAATTCAGGGACATCCCTGGAAAATTGGAGCACTTGCAGGGTCTGTAGTAATAAAAATGGCTGAATAGGAATTCCAGTCTACATGAGATACACGCAGCCCCAAATCATAAGAGGTTGAAGTGAGTAGGACTGAGATATCCCTCTTGGCTTCCTGATTTCTTAATGCTGCTGCTTTCCCCTGTGATTCCAGCTTCACCCTTTCTTAAGAGAAATCCAGTGTCTGAATACTTCCAGAGGCAGGCTGTGCTTGGATGAGAATTGGGAGCTGCCAGCGGACTTCAATATTATGAACTGGGCCATCTATCCCAATAAGTCTCGTGACCTTGTGAAAATTGGGAATATACGGAGAGAGACATCTGCTGGCATAAAGTTCACCATTAACCCAGAAGCCATTGAGTGGAACAAGAAATTCAATAAGGTAGGGTGAATCACAGAGGGAGAAGGCTAGGAGATGCTTATTATGTTTTTCCTTAAACAACCGCTGAAAAATGACCATATCAGGTTGACCAATGGTGTCTTGACCCTCAATAGCAGCTGCAACCACCACTCCTTCTTTCCACAGCAGCTGAGATAGGAAGGGAATTTGGGGTGCTCAAAGAAAGGATAGAGCCCAGAGGTCCTTAGAAAACACACCATCTATTTCTGAGCCAGACTGAGAATTTAAGAATTCTGGACAGAATCTTTAACCGAATGGACTACGTAGATAAGAAGAAAAGGGAAAGCCCCTAGTAAAAGTGAACTATTGGGCTTTCATACAAGAGGATGGAAAGTAATTTATTTTAGAAATGATAATTACTGATTTATTGTGGATTTTTTAATTTGTGGAGTAAGCTCACTTGTAGATGTTGGAAATGCTAAACTATTGTATGTGCAGGAATTGAGAAGTGCACAGCTGTTGGTGAAGGATGAGAAGTTAAAAAAACAACAACCCCTATTGTAATATAAGGTTAATGTTAAGGAATGGCATATGAACTAGAAATAACTAGGGAAATAGATCAGCAACAAGAGGAAACCTTGCATGCCTCAAGAAGAGAGTGAGGGAAACCAATATTTGGAAAAGTCATATTAAATTTGTCTTTATTAGTGGTTGAGAGATTATCAGAATCCTGAACTTTGGGGAAATCACATTTCAGACTCCATTTCCATTTTCTTTGAAGAGTTATTAAGTAGGGAAGCAGGTAAATGGAGAAGAGGAAAGAGAGTTCTGTGGTGCAAACCTCAGTTGTCCTGAATGAATTATGAAGAACAAGATATTCTGGTCACCCCAATGGTCAGTGGGGGGTTGAAAGGACCCTGATGAGGGGTCAAAGGCTGCAGTCCAGAGATCCGTTTAAACTCACTCTATGAGTGAATTACATACCCACAAATACTCCTAACTGTTCCTCTTTCTTGCACCTTCTTGTCTTTCTGGTTAGGCTGTGCCTCGTTCCAGGTGTACAGAAAGATGTCAGCCTGGATATGCCAAGGTGGTTCTAGAAGGAAAGCCCATTTGCTGCTATGCTTGTGCTCGGTGTGTGGAAGGGGCCTTCTCCGCCCAGGAAGGTGGGTGACGCCAAGGAGGAAGGTATTTCTGGAGAGAGTAAACACAGGGCAGTAATCCAGTCTCAAACACTTTTTGTGAGATTTCTGCAGACATTGGGGAATGGAGCTCCTTCCTCAACTTCTTTAGGATAAATCGCCTTCATTACATCCTGGAAGAGAGTTGAATGGAATGATCATAAGGAAGAAATCTCTAGAATTTCTTCAAAACGTAATAGAGCATAGATCATTAGGGATGTAAGTGATGCTGCAGCTACTTTTTTTCTCTTCCCCAGATGCAGAACATTGCACCAAATGCTCAGAAGATCACCATTCAAACAAGGACAGAGATCAATGTGTCCCCAAGATTACCACCTTCCTGACTTATGAAGAATATTTAGGAATGTTTTTAGCTTCCGTTGCCCTCTTCTTATCTATAACAGCAGGCATTGTGTTGGGAATCTTCATTAAATACAGGGACACTCCCATAGTCAAAGCCAACAACCGGGACCTCTCCTACATCCTGCTCGTCTCCCTCCTGCTTTCCTTTTTGTCCTCCTTCCTCTTCATCGGGCGCCCAAGGAAAGAGACCTGCCTTCTCCGACAAACGGCCTTCAGCATCATCTTCTCAGCTGCTGTTTCTTCTGTCTTGGCAAAGACCATCACGGTGGTGCTGGCCTTCCTGGCCACAAAGCCCGGGAACAGGGTGAGGAGATGGCTGGGCAAGAGTCTGGCCAACTCCATTGTCATCTCCTGTTCTGGGGGGCAAGTTCTCATCTGCACCATCTGGCTGGGCTCTTCTCCCCCATTCCCAGAGCCCGACATGCGCTCCCAGGTGGAAGAGATCATCCTGCAATGCAACGAAGGGTCTGTGGCCATGTTTTACGTTGCCCTCGGCTACCTGGGCTTCTTGGCTGCCACCTGCTTCACGGTGGCTTTCTTAGCCAGGAAGCTGCCTGGCTCCTTCAACGAAGCCAAGCTGATCACCTTCAGCATGCTGGTCTTCTGCAGTGTTTGGGTGTCTTTTGTGCCCACCTACCTGAGCACCAAGGGCAAGTACATGGTGGCCGTGCAGATCTTCTCTATGTTGGCCTCCAGTGCTGGGCTTCTGGGCTGCATCTTCCTTCCCAAGTGCTACATTATTGTGCTGAGGCCTGATCTGAACACAAAGGAGCACCTGACAACCAGACATTAAGGGGACACCTGATTCTTAAAACATTCCATGTTCCCGATGCACAGAAGTGCCTAAAGGAAACACAGCTACTCATCCATGTTGCTCCTTCTCCACCTCTGAAAGAGATTATGTTCCTTCTTAGCCCAGGTTTTTTGTAGTCCTGTTCACATGAACTGTAAGATGGGAGGAAATGTTTTGCTACCTTGCTTTGCCAAGGACTACTATGAGTCTTGATGTACTGCCCTTAGTTTGTAAACTATTATCTTTTTAAAAAATTGTGTTTTGGGAACTTATATTTATCTCACAACAAGATAGGCTGGAGGGAGAGGAGTTAGGTTTTTGAGTCTGTTTGCTTTGTCATGACTACCTATTAACCATATCAATTCTTTTTTTAATTTCTTTTTATTAAGTTTCATATACATAACCAAAAAAGGACAACAAATCAGCCGTTACAAAAAATAAAAAAATAAAAAAGTTACAAATGTCCAAATATAACGTAAAGATCTTATCCGTTTCCATTACAGTTATTTGTCTTCACATTTATTTCTTTATAACTTTAGGAACTTAAATCCCTCTTCTACCCCCTACCGACCTCCATCCCTCTCGCTTTCAGGCTTCTTCTGGGCTGCATCAATAGGAGTATAGCATCTAGATCAAGGGAAGTAATAGTGCCACTGTATTCTGCTCTGGTCAGACCTCACCTGGAGTACTGTGTCCAGTTCTGGGCACCACAGTTCAAGAAGGACACTGACAAACTGGAACGTGTCCAGAGGAGGGCAACCAAAATGGTCAAAGGCCTGGAAACGATGCCTTATGAGGAACGGCTAAGGGAGCTGGGCATGTTTAGCCTGGAGAAGAGGAGGTTAAGGGGTGAAATGATAGCCATGTTCAAATATATAAAAGGATGTCACATAGAGGAGGGAGAAAGGTTGTTTTCTGCTGCTCCAGAGAAGCGGACACGGAGCAATGGATCCAAACTACAAGAAAGAAGAGTCCACCTAAACATTAGGAAGAACTTTCTGACAGTAAGAGCTGTTCGACAGTGGAATTTGCTGCCAAGGAGTGTGGTGGAGTCTCCTTCTTTGGAGGTCTTTAAGCAGAGGCTTGACAACCATATGTCAGGAGGGCTCTGATGGTGTTTCCTGCTTGGCAGGGGGTTGGACTCCATGGCCCTTGTGGTCTATTCCAACTCTATGATTCTATGATTCTATGATATACATAATTTATTTCTCCTGCAGCTAGTGATTGTTAATGATTTGCACATCGTAAGATTTATATCAGACCTGCTATAGTTTTTAAGTTTCGGTAGTTCCCTTCGATGTAAATCATAAATTTATTCCAATCATTAATAAACTTTGTATTCTTTTGGTTTCTGGTTTTTTGTGTCATTTTTGCAAAATTAACAAATTCAAATAGTTTTGTTTGCCATTCTCTAATTGATGGGGTATTTTGATTCTTCCAGTTTTGGGCAATTAATAATCTGGCGGCGGTTGTGGCATACTGAAATAGTAGCTTATCCTCTTTTTTGATTTCGTCCCCGACTATTCCTAGTAGGAATGCTTCCGGTCTTTTAGGAAATGTATATTTGAATATATTTTTTTGTTCAGTTTCACTTCTTAGCTTTATGGATAAATTAACCTCAATTAGGTTACATTTCCCTCACGTCCTTCTTCCCAGCATGCTTTGCTGCCCCATCTTCTCACAGACAAATACCCTGCATCCTGTAGTTGAAA